GCAGACTAGGCCTAAGTCAGCCTAACTAGGGGCTGGTACAGGGCAAGCCTGAGCCAGCCCTAACTATAAGCTTTATCAAAGAGGAAAGTCTTAAGTCTAGTCTTAAATGTGGAGACGGTGTCTGCCTCCCGGACCGTAACAGGAAGATGATTCCACCACAGGAGAGGAGCCTGATAGCTGAAGGCATCTGGCACACGAAGCAAGAAAGAGCAGAAGGAGAAGCCATCGCTAACTGTTGAGCTAATGTAGCTACCAAGGCTAATAACATGCAAACAACAGCTAAGAGATTAGCAAGAAAGTCATAAAAAGGAGGAGAGCTATAAGTGCTTAAACAGAACTAGTGTGGGTTAAGACTTGAAGTAGATGTTGAGCAATTGAAGTGAGGAAAAGACAGAAAGAAAGCTGGTGGAGTTCACTAGAGCAGCACAGAGACGCTGTCAAAGAAAACACCGGAAATGACACAACACACTTACCGCAATACGTCAGCACGTCAGCCGTTCATGTAACTACAAAGTTGAAAAGCTTCCTGTCAAACTTTCAAACTTTCACAAACAAGCTATGCTGTCCTGGAAACTGATCTAAAGCATCACTTCTTATTATATTTGGAATAATGAAGACATCCTTTATAAAAACAAATTACTGCTTTTTAAGGTTTGGATGGAGCATGGAATTTTATTAGTTGACCAACTTATTAATGACCAGGGTTTTTTTAATTTCTTATTAAGAATTTTTGTTAAAATTTCAGTTGCCAGGTACACCAAAGAAATAAGCTGCAATTTTTGATGCACTACCACAGGGTGTGCTGCAGCTTCTTAAAGGGACTGAAAGAAATACTGCTGTTTTGTTGGTGGAGTAGACATTGCAAAAAAATCCTGCTCTAACAGATATTTGAGAAGCTGCTTACAGTCAACGATTCAGCATCTCCACGGGCTACCTTAGGGAGATTCAATATGGTCTGCATATCTGATGTGGTTGACCATACTGTCGCTCTAAGGTGGCTAGTGCCATAGTTACAGGCTGTGGATCATGTGCATAGGACAGGGCAATATGGCGGGCTGAGGGGAGCTGTAGATGATCCAATAGGATATGAAATTTGTACAGTTCAGGTTCATCTGCAGGTAGCAGGTTAGTCAGAGCCATCTTCAACAGTATAAACTCATGAGGGTCATCATGGCTGAAATAAGGGAACGACGGTCCCTCCACACGTGTTGAGAACCTGGAACCCATAGTTTGCTGCACAGGAGCCACGGGTAAAGACAAGCTTGGACTGGCAGGAGGGAGAGCTCCAGTTAAATGTGGGGCACATGAAACTGGAGCTGGCTGAGACACAGAACCTTGAGCTTGAGGTTGCTGTATGGCCTGAGGGGGCATGTAGTGGAACTGGTATGGAACAACATTGCTTGAGTGATAAACATATGACTGTGAACTGGTTAGCGGAGCTTGAGGTGCAGGGACTGGTGGAGGTTGCATTGCATGGGATGGCAAATGACTGGGAGGGCCATAGCCCATGAGTGCTGTGCTAATGCTCTGGGATGTTGCTGTGGGATACACCTGATGAGAAGACACATGGAACACAGGGTCTTGTGCCATCTGTACTGGCAGTGGTACTTGAGAGGGAACGTGAGGATTTACTTGATATACATGCGGCCCAGCTGCAGGTGGGTGGCTAGAGGTGACATTAGACAACAACACTGAATTTAAATGCTCTGAAACTGGTATGGCTGAACTTAGAGGTGGCATATAAGCTGCTGAAGTTGAAGGTAATGGGCTAGGAGATTCAGGCATTTGTGGCTCAGATCTTACATATGGAGCTGAAACAGGTCTCTTATGTTCACATTCTAGAAAGGCAGATGTCTTATGGACGCAAGGGAAAAGGGTCTGGGCTGACTGGGAAATCTTTCCAGGGTTTAAAGCAGGCGCTGATTCAGATAGGTTCGGTATAAACGAACCTATGTTGCTTGTTGGGCCTCCTGGGGCTCTATATCACGTTCCTCTTCTAAATCTCCCTCCGAGTAACTCTGCTCACACTGCTGAACTCTGTCCATCAAGTCTCGAACCATACCTTTGAGTTGGGCAACTTCTTCCCTTAACAAGTCCGTTTCAGGGGTCTCTTGAGACAGGCTTGGTTGCAGTGATTGCAGAGGAGGCCTGCCGTAAAGTTCAGTCTGGTAATCCTGTAGGTACCTTGGGGGCATTCTCTCCCACTGTGGCCTTTCTCCATGCTCTCTCCCATCATGCGACAGAATAGCTTGTGGATCCATCGCCCAGCATGGATGCTCGATCTGGCTCGAAGAACCATGAAAAAACTAGGCTGTATGTGGCGGTGGTTCAGGGGAGCATCCAGTGTGGTGTGCACATTTAAACACAGGAACCGGCAGTCTGTTCTTGGCAATTTATTTGAGGTTACGAAGATGAGCAGAGTGGAACAAAGGGTGGTGGATGATTTCCTACACAAAATAAACATAAATAGAAGATAACTCATAAAACATAAATTTCCATCTTCAAACAGATGATAACAATAAATCAAGGTCCATGAACTTAACTTACTTCACATTTACGCAACCACAATTTACAATAATAAAACAGGAGGGTACTTCAGGCGGCTTTCTTTGTCTGGTGGTTTTGGAGGGAAGGAGAGAGAGGAGGGGCTGAGGTTCGAGGCGGGTTTATATCACCTCAGGAGGTGGGCGGTTCCAACAGGGTGGAGTCGAGTCTCTTGTGATTTTTAACAGTACCTAGAGTAGAACTTTTAGGAAAGATGTTCAGCATTGTGTTCAAGAGAAAACAGGGAAAACGATAAGTTTCCAGGAAAAAAAAACATTTATATTTATTTTGATGACAAAGATTTGTGTTTGTTCTGTCAGTTGATCTTGAGTCAGGGGAAATTTCACATCCATAAAAACAAATGGGCCAAATCTAAACCAAACATTGTCCTCTTTGG